AATCCGATCTGACTGGTACAGGAGGAGATTGTTTCTCCTCCAGCAGAGCATCTGGTGGATTTGAACCGTGCACCTCTGAGACTGTAGTTGCAGCTTCTTGCCACTAGGCCACCAGAGCTCGCCCCTATTTCCTTTTAACTCCTGTTTCTTACTTCTTTGGAGATATGTGTGTGTACACACACACATTTACTTACCCCATCTCCGCTTGTCTTCTTCCTTGTTCAGTCTTGCTGCCCTTTTCTGGATCAAAAAAGATTGCCTGAAGACCCCCTGGTGCTATCGTGTCCCGTGTTGGGCTGCTAGCTGCTAACTGAAGGTCAGCAGTTGGAACCCAGCAGCGATTCTGAGGGAGAAAGGCCATCAGTTTGTGTGTGTCAAAGATGGAGCCTAGGACACCGGGTGGAGGGTCACCATGAGCCCGAATCAGGAGCAGCGAGGGGGCAGGGACACAAGTGCTGCCTCTCTAACGTGCACAGAAGACCTTGTTCCCAAGAAGGGCTATGACCACCGGTAATGAATCCACCAGGAGCTTAGTGGTAGAAAGACGGGTGGACTCCTCCCGGAAGGATGGGCAGCCTCAGAAACCTGATGGAGGCTTGCTGGAAATGGGCATGGGCGTGGCAGCCGTGAGGTTTATACCAGGATGGACGGCATGGATTTAGGGAGGATGCACTTCAATCCGTAACATTTGACTAAAGCCTTTCCTTTGTCAACACCGTTGCTCTGGGGTCCTGGACAATCTGTCTGGGACTCAGATTAACAGAGTAGCCATTGTCTCAAACATTTCTGTCATGTTATGTTGTCATTGTTGTACTGAACTCTGCTCTATCCTGAGCCAACCTTACTGTCTCAGACAGCCACCCTCCTTACCAAGTCACTGAATCAATCCATCTCACCGAGGGTCTTCCTCTCTTATGCTGTCCCTCCACCCTTCCAAGCATAATGTCCCTCTCCAAGGTCCCTCTTAGCTCAAGGGACCAACTCATAGCTGATCCTCCAGCGAGTTTTCAGAGACAGGAGGAGAGTGCCCATCTTTCTCCTGCAGAGCAGCTGGGGGCTTCAAACTGCGTGCTTTGTTGGTAACGCAGCTCCGTACCACTAGGCCACCAGAGCTCCCCAGATGTCGTTGTAGCAGGACAAGAAAGAGCATGGGGAGGTCACACCAACACCAAACACCCAAATTCACTGTTTGGCAATGACTGTGCCAGTGGTTGTACAAAATTCTATCACGTGATCTCTGGATACATTGCTTCCTCTTTCTCATCGCTGGCCCTTCTTTGTTCATGACTTTGCGTTCCGGTCACCAGGCAATATTCATGCATCCTGTTTGTGTGTTTGGTCAATTTCCGACTGCAGGAGATCGTAGAAATCCTGTTTCTTAACCTTTGACTTTAGTGGTTGGTGCATAAATCTGAGTAATCGTTCTATTAACAGGTATTCCTTGTATATGCCTGGATATTACCCCATCACTGACAGAATTATACTTCAAGATAGATCTTAAAAGGGCCTTTTTTTTTCTTTTGCAAGCTAAAGAAGCTTTATTAAGGGGGTCCCAGGCGGGATTCCTTGGTCTAGAGAGAGAGAGAGAGACAGACCAGAGAAAAACTGCCAAAAGGGCCTTTCTGTCACTGAATGTGACACTACTCATCTTCAATTTGTCCTTCTGGGCATGTGGTTAAAAGTTGAGTCAACTATGACTCATAGCGACCCTATAAACAACAGCTCTGCACCCTGGCCTGGCCTGTGCCAACCTCGCAGTCTCTCACACTCTGGAGCCCCATGGCTGTCATCGCTGTGTTTGTCCACCTGGCTGAGGGTCTTGTGAACACACTGGACCATATAACTGTCTGTTCAAAATGACCAATACCCAGTCAGTTCAGTTCACTAGTGCCTAGGATGTGTTTCATTTCACTCTTGGCAACTTCCAGTTTTCTTAGGTTCACACCTCATAGTTTGCATGTTCCAGTTATTAATGGGTGTCTGCAGCTCCTTCTCATTTTGGGTCTTGCAACATCAGCAAATGAAGGTCCCTCCTCGGGTGGAAGCTTTACTGCATCACAGTCTTTAACGTGCATTTGAGGGCTCTAGCGTTTCTCCGGCCGGGCTGAGTACTTTCCTCCCAGAGGACCTCATCTCCTGGCTTTATCAGACAGCGTTCTGCTGCTGTTCACAAGGCTTTCAAAGGCCCATTATTTCTGAAGCCAGTGGCCATTTCTCCTTCCACATCTTAAGTCTGGAAGCTCTGCTGAAACCTGTCCCGCATTCATGACCCTGGTGGTGTCCGAGTAGGGAGGGAGCTGTGGTGGCCCACTGCTAAGGAGTTGTGTCAACCCAAGGCACACGGTTCTAACCCACCAGCATCTCCACAGGAGAAAGACAAGTGGTCTTCTCCCATGCCTATAAAAACCCGCTGGGGGCCAGCTCTCGGCTTGGTCCTGACTCAGCCGTCCTCTCCAGCAGTGCCAAAGCTTCCAGCCCCATATCAATACGGACATCACCACAGTGTGACAAACTGAGGAAAGTCCACCGTTTACAGACCCGGAAGGCCATCAACAACATCACAGAGGCGTGCCCTCTTAACAGCTACCATCTACAGGAGGCCAAAGGGCAGCATTTGCCAGAGGGGCTATCCGGCAGTCAGGAAGGGCTGAGAAAGAGCATCGTGTCTGGACTGTTGACTTTCATTCAAATCACAATAAAGTTTAGAAAAGAATCTCTTAAAAAAAGGTGTTTTAAAACACAGTTGGAGGGAGCTCTGGTGGCCTAGTGGCAAGAAGCTGCCACTGTAATCACAGAGGCGCATGGTTCTAACCCACCAGATGCTCTGCTGGAGAAGGAGGGACAATCTCCTCCTGTACCAGTCAGATCTGATTTGACGGTACACTCACACAAAAATAATTTAAAAAAACAAAACAAAACACCACAGTTGGAAGAAGCTCTGGTGGCCTAGTGGCAAGAAGCTGCCACTGTAATCACAGAGGCACATGGTTCTAATCCACCAGATGCTCTGCTGGAGAAGGAGGAACAATCTCTTCCTCTACCAATCAGATCTGATTTGATGGTGTGTGCACACGCGCAAGCGCGCAGACACCCCCCCCCCAAAAAAAAAACAAAAAACAAACACAATTGGGTATTTATATATTTATATTATATTGGCTTTCTCTGCACCTCCCTTTGGCTTTGAGACCTGGACACCTTAACCCCTTCCATCAATTCCCAGAGGCTCTAAATCACATGAGCGAAGCCTGCCCAGCTTTCTGTAAAGGAGCCACTCGTGGATTCAAACCATGTGCCTTTTGGTCGACAGGACAACCCTCTCCCACTAAGCCCTGTGAGCTACCTGCCGCCCCCACATCCAGATGAGGCCAGCTCCAGCTTGTGGGCCTCCTTTTCTCCTGGTGACTATAGAATCTGATGGCGAGGAGGGTGTACCCCGGTAACTACAGTGCTCATGCAATTTTGTGCGCATTTCAGTAACACCAAGGACTTGAAGAGGGGGCTCCCCCTTGGCAGCCAACTGTGTGCCCCTTCCTTCCCCAGAGGGCAAGAGAGACCTGGGGAAAGGGCCCATCCGATGGCCAGTCCCAGGCAGAGTCACACCCACACACCTAATGACTCGCCCAAGGCGGAGTTTCAGGGTTGGGGGCCCAGGGGGACACCAAGGCCAGCTGGGCCAGTCCCTACACAGTACGTCCACTCCCTACTCGGGGTGCGGGGACCTAAAGAGCCTGCAAGAAGCCATCTGAGCCACAACTGTTGATGTCCCCTCGCCTGGAGCATAGAGGTGCAAAGTCGAGACACAAGGGAACCCTTCATCAGAGGCCTGGGACCCACGTGCACGTCATGTGACAGCGCACATCACGTGACCATCTAAGGCCCTGGGACTGGAGAACTAGATGGTGCCCTGCAGCCAGTGTGGGGCTCTGATGGGCCACAGTGGATGCAGGGGGCCACGGACTCCTGAATCCTTTCCTCGGCTCCATGCGAGGTCCTGGCGCCTGTTTCCCACCTATGAGAACGGGGGTGGGGAGCTGGGATCTTAAGGGAGGCCTGTAACAGTTCGAAGTCCAAGGCCCCTCCTCGAGCCCATTCTTGTTAGTTTTTTATCAAACTTGGCTCACAGGTTTCTATCAAACTCAAAATGGCGCCCCACAAGAACAGAGATCGATTTCAGGCGCCCACCCGCCCCTTGCTGTGAAGGCAGGGGGGACCCTCGCCCTCGCCTAGATCATATTAGCACGGGGGACAGTGAGCTTAGCTCATTGGCTGGCAGAGGCGCGTCCTGTCTCACATCTGGGACCCCATTGGTCTTTCTCCACTCGTCCCCGCCCCTTGCAAGTTTTCCGTCAGCGATTGGCGGGCTTGGGCCCACAAACGCACGAACGCGCGTTCCTATTGGTAGGAGCGCGCCCCAGCGTCCGTTTAAACACCCCCTCTTCC